CGTGGACGAAGGCGGCTACTCCAAGGAGACCGCGCAACAGCAGACTCAGAACCCTCAGCGCCCGCACCCCCAACGGCTCCAGAACCTCCGGTGTCAGTACCCTCAGCACCAGTACCTCCAGCGGCTCCAGAACCTCCAGCACGAGCACCCTCAGCAGCTCCAGAACCTCCAGCTCCAGCGCCACCAGTACTAGGCCCTCCAGCAGCTCCCGAACCTCCAGCGCCAGCACCCTCAGTAGCTCCAGAACCTCCAGCGTCAGTACCGCCAAGCTCAGCACCCCCAGACCCCTCACACTCAGGCTCAGCACCACCAGGCTCCACACCCTCAAGCTCCGCACCCTCAGGCTCAGCACCCCCAGGCTCAGCACCCCCAGGCTCCGCACCCCCAGGCTCAGCACCCCTAGAAGTAGCACCCCGAGAAGGACCACCCTCAGTAGGACCTGAGTCACCAGTGACCTCAACCGGCGCAGTCAAGGGAGGAGGGTCTACCTGAGAAACACCTGAAGGAGCAGGACCAGGAGTGGGGAGGGGGTCTACCTGGGGAGCACCTGGAGCGAGGAAGAGCGGCGGAGGGGGGAGCGGGGCAGTGCGGTAGGGGAAGAGACGGTAAAAGGGAACCGACTCGTCGAACGTGACGTCCTGAGACGCAAAGACACGGCGCGAGGTGGGATGGTAAAACTGCCAACCAGGCGCGTCAGGGACAAAGCCAAGGAAGACACAGGGAACAGCGCGGGCGGAGAGCTTGTCCGCGGTGGTATCGCGGACAAAGGCACGAGCACCCCAGACCCGGAAACGCGACGCATCACCAACCTTCCCCGTCCACAGCAGTGTGGGCGAGGTCTCCGGCAAGGAGACACGGGGCCAGAGGTTGAGCTGATGCGCGGCGTACCGGACCGCAAACGGCCACAGGAAATGGGGGGCAGCCGCATGGATCATGGAGGTACGAGCGACCTCCATGACTAAGCCAATGCGACGCTCAGCAACCCCATTCTGCTGTGGAGAGGCCGGAAGCGTGAACGACTGGGTGATGCCGTGCTCCGCACAGTAGGCTGCCAAGAGGTCAGAGGAGAACTCACCACCTCTGTCAGAGTGCAGACGCAGGACAGGAAAGTCCCGCCGGAACCGCTCGCGGAGCTGGAGACGAACAGCGCGGATCCAAGGGATCAAAACATCAGGGACGTCCCCCTTGCTCTGCAAGGGGAAGACCGTGGTGTAACGCGTGTAGTCGTCGACAACCAGCAGGAAGTACCGCTCGCGGCCCTGTCCCTGGACGCGGGCTGGGCCCCACACGTCCAGGTGGAGCGTCTGCAGTGGAGCCTCTGTGGGAGGAAACGAGGAGGAGTGAGGAGCGGCGCGCTGCCGCCCCTCGACGCAAGGAATGCAGGGCGGCGCAGGCGAGGGAGGGAGGGCAGGCAGAGACTTGGGAAGACCAGAGACCAGGGAGCGAGAGTGCATGCTACGCAGGCGAGGCAAGGAGGGGTGACCAAGACGGTGGTGCCACAGGAGAGTGTCGTGCGACAAAGCGCGACACTCGCAGGGGGCCGCCAGCTGACCAGACGTAGACGCAGACGCAGCTACCTGAGGGGACTCAGTGGTCAGTATGTACAGACTCGAGCCAGGTGCACGGGTGAACGTGGCCAAGTGCCGGCCCGTCCTAGCACACGTACAGTGAGTCACTCGCTGACTCGCAGGAGTGAACTGGTCAACCTCCCGATCCTGGAGGTCAGCTCCACTCACCAAGTTCGTAGAGAACGAGGGGAGGTAAAGACCTGACAGCGAGCCGGACGGGACGGCCGGACACGGTAGAACCGTGGAGTAGTGGGCAAGGACTGGACCCCCGGAGGGGTCCGCCAGGGAGACTGGAACTGGCCGACTAAGCGGCGTGAGTGTGGTGCAGTCGCGAAAGAAGGAGCGAGAAGCTCCTGAGTCAAGGGTGAAGGTGTGCGAGACCGTAGTTGGCGCAGTACCAGAGAGAGCAGACTCACCAGCACCTGAAGCCACGGCCTCACCAGTACCTAGAGCAGTAGACGTACTAGCACCGAGAGCAGCAGCCTCACCAGCACCTAGAGCAGGAGACGCACTAGCACCTAGAGCAGCAGCCTCACCAGGGTCAGGCGGTACGCACAGATAACAGGCACGATCAGCACTAGTAGGCAATGCATACATGGCAGTGAGAATAGCATCATAGTCAAGCGCAAAGATATCTACCCTCTGTCCATGCAGCTCCAGCCAGGTGGGGAGCTCAGCCTCGTCGCCAAACACTGTGCGCCAGTCGTCGCTCAGACGGGCGAAGCAGCGGGACTGTGTGTGACCAAGCGTCCCACAAGGCTGACCAGTCCTAGCACCTGTGCGAATGACGTACGGGCAGCGAACTGTACGGGTAGACCTGCTACACTGAGCGTACCACTCCTGGAGCTGCCGGGGCGTAAGTGTCTCACGTGGACGCCCTTGTAGCTGCAGCTGGCCACTGCCAGACGCTCCCAACTGACCAGCTCCAGGGCGACAGCTACGACGGCTACCGCGACAACCCCAGCTAGTATACCACTCACTAAGCTGCTGGGGCGTCAGAGGCTCGCGTGAACGTCGCTGGAGCTGCATCTGGCCACCTGCCAGTAGCAGTAGCAGCAGCAGTAGCGCGGGCAAGGCAGGCGCGGCAGGCAGGCAAGCAAGCAGGCAGGCAGGCAGGCAGGCAGGCCGGCAGGCAGGCAAGCAGACAGGCAGGCAGGCAGGCAGGCAGACAGGCAGGCAGGCAGGCAGGCAAGCAGGCAGGCAGGCAGGCAGTCGCGCAGGCAGGCAGGCAGGCAGGCAGACAGGCAGGCAGGCAGGCAGGCAGGCAGACAGACAGGCAGGCCGGCAGGCAGGCAGGCAGGCCGGCAGGCAGGCAGGCAGTCGCGCAGGCAGGCAGGCAGGCAGGCAGGCAGGCCGGCAGGCAGGCAGGCAGTCGCGCAGGCAGGCAGGCAGGCAGACAGACAGGCAGGCCGTCAGGCAGGCAGGCAGGCGCTCACCAAAGGCTGGGAGAGCAGGCGCTCACCGGGCGAGCAGGGCCGGCGCTCGACGGGCGGCGGCCGAGTAGGCGCACGACAGCGGCGGCGTCGGGGCCGCAAAACCGGCTGCAGAGCAGGGCCGAAGCAGCTGCAGGGCGGGGCCACGTCAGCTGCAGTAGTAGGGTGGGGCCGCGTCAGCGGCAGGTCGGGGCCGTGGTAGCTGCAGGGCGGGTCCGCATCAGCGGCAGGTCGTGGCCGAGGCAGAGGGCCGCGCGCGGCTCGGCGCGGGCTGCGCTGACAGCGCGCTGAGCTGCTGCAGGCCGCGCGCGGCCGCGCTAGGCAGTAGCGGGCCGCGCGCGGCTCGGCGCGGGCTGTTGCGGGCCGCGCGCGGGCCGCGCGAGGCAGTAGCAGGCCGCGCGCGGCTCGGCGCGGGCTGCTGCGGGCCGCGCGCGGGCCTCGCGAGGCCGTAGCAGGCCGCGCGCGGCTCGACGCGGGCTGCGCGGGCTCGGCGCGGGCTGCGCGCGGCAGCTGCGGGCTGCGCGCGGCTGCAGCGGGCTGCGCGCGGCTCGGTGCGGGCTGCGCGCGGCTGCAGCGGGCTGTGCGCGGCTCGGCGCGGGCTGCGTGGGCTCTGTGCGGGCTGCGCGCGGCTGCAGCGGGCTGCGCGCGGCTCGGCGCGGGCTGCGCGGGCCTTACGGGCCTCTAGGGGCGGCGCGTGGGCCTTACGGGCCTCTAGGGGCAGCGCGCTGGCCTAGGGCAGCAGGAGGCAGCGCTAGGGCTGCTGGACGGCGCACATAGTGCAGCACGTCACAAGGCAAGGCAAGGCAGGCAGGTACGTGGGGTAGCGCGGTAACCGCAGCGGTAGGTGGGCCCGAAAAAAAAACGGTCCTACGGACCTTAGTGCTCTGAAACCATGTCAGAATCTAGCAGCAGGAATGAATGAACTAGCAGCATGCAGGAGTACAAGTAGTAAACCCTAATTGGGCTGTACCCCATATGGGCTACCCCACTACAGCCTAGACAATATGCAGCATATATGTTTGAGATTAGCGTCGAAGGCGGCGTTCCCCTCTTCGCCAACGTCGGCCTCTGCTACCACCTCCTCACCATCACTCACGTGCCACTCCTCGGCCTCCTAACCGGCGTAGTTAAGGTTCCACCATTCGCCCTCTTTAATGCCCGCCAGTCGGGCAGCGGTTCCATCCTCTTTGCTTTAGCGCCGTCCTCGTACCATTCCTCTTCGTTCTAAACCGTCAACACCAGACTCCTCGCAGCTCACGACCGTACATTTGACGACATGTTCTTTTGACCTCTATTTAACTCAAGACCTTAGATTTTTTTTCCTGGGGTATAACAATATGTTAAAATACTTATGCAAATGTTATCTACCATCAAATATGCACACTTCAAAACAAGTTAGCATTTTTATAGCTTAATATGTAGAGGAACACACACAATTGCAATTGTGGTAGCTGTTTGATAAGATTTATATGGTCCCTGCACACATAATTGCAAATAATTGCACATATTGAATCGAACCCTATCTCTCTCGAACGCCGTATGATGCGGTATCAATCAGAGCAAATTGTAGACTTCACCAGTTCCCTAATGAGCGCATAATTACAGGGCGCGACGCGACTCGCCAAATATGTGCTGTGAGCGTGGACCAACCTACGAACGATATCACACCGCAACTAGCGGCAACTCCGCTTCTTCAAGTGGTGCTGCCTCTGCACAAGGCTGGTATTACTTAGGCAAGTAAACCAGTCGCCAAGCAAACATATTCACATTCAGCACAATCTCATCTGTTCAGACCTGAGCACACCTTCTGACTTGCTGCATCGCGAAATGGATCTTCCAGCCGCCCGATTCATGCGCTTTCTTTTCACCATTCTCGCGTTCACGCTGCTCCATGCTGTTAGCGCCAGCACCACCAATTTCCGCCGTATGCTCCAAGCGCCGCCGGTAGCTGGCGCGAAGGTGCAGTACCAGGGCAGTCTCAGCAACAAGATTAACACCGATGGCGGGAAATGCGAGTATTTTGGGTCGCCCTTCGACAAGAGCGAATTCTTCGACGGAGGGAAGGTCGCGCGCTTTCCGCCGGAGATTTTTGACAAAGGAGCAGCATGCGGCGCGTGCTACTTCGTCTCGTGCGTGAATAGCTCGCGCTGCGTAGCGGACGCGAAAGTAAATGTCCGCGTCGTGGGCACTTCTAAGGAGAAATCGCGGATTATGATTTCTGACGCAGCGTGGAGCAAGATCGCCAAGGATAAGGATAAGAAGCCAGTGGATTTCAAATACGAACGCGCTCCGTGCAGCAACGGGACGAGCATCGCGGTGCGGGTTCGCGACGGGTCCACCGAAGACGAGTTTAAGGTGCAGATCTTGGGAACTGCCGGCCCCGGAAGCGTGGAGCGCGTTGAGGTGTCGAACGACGGGTCCACGTGGAAGGCGCTGGAAAAGCCTGACGTCAAGGTGACGTGGAAGATCAAGGGCGAAAAGGCTTTGCTGCGCGCCAAGAAAGCGCTTTCGTTCCGCGTGACCGCGAGGGACACAAAGGAGCAGGTCGTTCTTAAAGACGTGCTCCCCGCGGATTGGAAAGCCGCCACGACTTACAAGTCGAAGGACGTGAACTTCAAGAAGAAGGACGAGGCGGCGAAGCCAAACAAGGACGGGGTGAAGCCGGGCGCCGTGCGAGCAGCGGTGACTAAGGCGGTTATAGCGGTAAAGAAGGTGAACGAGGTGCTCACCAAGGCCACCAACGCGGTCTTGGAGGCGCTTAAGCAGATCGCGGCAACAGGAATCGCCAAGAAGTAGCTCTCCGTGAAGACCGGCTGCCAAGCCAAGACTCGGCGGAAGTTGTTTCTGTTTGGTTTTTGTTCTGTTAGTTTCAGTGAGGGGGTTATGGAGTATGCTTCTTGATCTAGAGTGTGTGCATGGGATTAGGGTTTAGTGGATGGAGTTTTTGTTTTTGTGGGTGTGGGGGATGGCTTTGCAATGTTAATTTCTCCCAAGGAATATAAAGACTTTTCACACTTCCTCTCAAGCAATCATTAGAAGATATGCTTCCAATTCTAGCAAACAGAAAGACAGTCACAAAGGGTGCTGGGAACATTATATTATAGAGAGTTTTTAGGTTTTGAATTGCATTTCCGAGTTGCATTGACAAATTTTACAATCGGACGTCCCAATATCGAGCAGCGTCCACTTGAAATCAACCGTGCCAGCTACAGCACACGTCCTCCCGACAATTCTGAAGCAACCTCATAAATTTGGACTAATCTAGTTTCCACTTACCTCGTGTCTAGGAACGACATAAAAGTCCCTTGAAGCGAATCCTTACGGTCTAACTCGATCATGGCCGTCGACGCGTCGCCGAGAAGAGGCGGCGCGGAGGGGGGCGCGGCAGGCGCAGCGGAAGAAGAGGGGCGTGAGGTGAGTGAGGCACACGGCAACCTCTAGGGCTCGCGGTTTGACTCGGAGATGGCATGGCTCGACGCGCCTGGTAATCCATTCCGGCGCGGCGCCTTAAAGCACGGGAATAGCGGGTGGAGCGAACGCGCGGGGGAATGAACTTGTTGTGGGGCGAGCTTGTGGGTCGACACGGTGGTCCGATGCTCCTTCTCGCGTGAGCGGCGTCATGCGATAGCGACGCGCTGCGCGAGAATCCACGCGTTCGCAGGGAAGCATCTCGTCTGGTCGGCTCTAACCCTAAACCAAGGGTCAGCAGAGACTGGGTTATTGTCAGAATAGACTGGCGTCTCGGTCACGTGGCGTCGGCTTTCCTTTGCTCGCGTCGACACCCGTTTATTCCCGCCGGCGCTTCCCCTCTGGCTCCGCCCACCCCATGGTTCCGTGCCTCGAGACGTCTCAGAAGTTGCTAGCGTCGTTCCGCCTTCCCCGCTGAATTGTGCTCTCCCGCTCCGCGCGCGCACGTGGCCATTTCCCGCTCAAAACGGCCACTAGCTTCACCTGTGGACGGATTTAGGAGGTGTTTAAGTTAAAGCTTATGAAATCAGTCTCCTTTTTCCGCTTTCCTTCCTTGAATCCCTGCCCTCTTCGCCCGTTCCTCACTCTGTTTCTACCCCCCCGATTAGGGTTTCCATAACTCTCTCGGGTGTGTTCTAGTCCAAACCCAACCCCACTCGTTGCCCCTCGCCTTCCCCCATGTGGCCCTCGCTGCTCCTCGCCTTCCTCTAAGCCTCCGTTGATCTTCTTACATTCTTACCTCCAACTTCTCACCTTCTCTTTTACTTGATTCAACTTTTCATTGTGCAAGCTGAACAGTGTTTAGCCTCTTCGCCCGTTTCTCACTCTGAGAGCCATTTTTTTTTTTTGTATTCTCACTATTGCCGTCCTCATTTAGCGCCACTCGCCTCTGCTTCTTCCCTCTTCCCTCGTCATCTTTAACCCACGCACTTCCTCCCCCATCTCCCCCCCCCGCCTCCTCCCCCCTCTTCCCCTATTCCACCCCCAACCCCTTTTCTTCAACGCTTCCCCCCAGGACGATGCTCTCGCCAGAGCAGACGAGGCTCGGAAGGCTGCCGAGGCTAAGAAGGCGCTTCGGGCGGCGAACCTGCGGCCGAAGCGGCTGGGCGCGAGCGGCGAGGGCAAGGTCCTGGATTCGAGCATCAAGCGCAACACGGCGGTGATCCGACGGCTGAAACAGCTCAGCGAGGATCAGAGGGAAACCATCCTGGATGAGGTGGGTGGGTGGGTGGGTTGACGGGAGGGGAGATAGGAGGGGTTGGGAAAATGAGAGGTTATTGCACGCGCCATGCATTTACCATTGCGTCTTTCCCTGTCTTCCTCCAGTTCAACGAATTTCGTTTCACTGCATCCTTCTTCCCTCCACTTCCTTAACCCTTTCATTTTTTTCACGTAAAACCCCACCCTTTTGCGAATTTAATCTCCTCACTTTCAATCCCTTCCTGTAATCTTTCGCTTCGTACCTCCTCCTCCGCCCCCAACCCCGCTCCCCCTCTCCCCCTTTTCCCCTCCCTGTTTCCCCCCTATCTTTTCCCTCTCTGCCTCCTCCGCATTCCTTCCCTCGCTGCCTCTGCCCCATCCCTTCCCTCCTTTTCCCCCTCCGTGTCTCCCCTGCTCTCCTCCCTTCCCCCCACCAGGGGTGCCAGGCGGCGAATACATGTTGAATTTTCTGCCTCGCTCTGCAGCTTCGTCTCAGAGGCATTGGAAACTCTATTCCCTCCTCTCCCTCCACCCCACCCACCCTCCCTCCCTCCATCCCTTCCTCTCCTTTCCCCCCCACTTCCTCTCCCCCCCCCCCACCAGGTGCGGGCAGTGAACATGAGCAAGTACGTGTCGGAGGCGGTGGCAGCCATAGCAGAGGCCAAGCTCAAGATGGCCGATATCCCCGCTGCCGTGCAGGTCAGGTCCCTGCCTCCCTTCCCCTCCCGTCCTTTCCCCTCGCCTTATCCCCTCTCCTCCTTTCCCCCCTCCCCTCTGCTCCCCTTCCCACCTCTCCCCCCTCTGGTCCTTTCATTGATATTGGTGGCAGTATACATGCATGGTCCTCTCTCCTCTCCTCTCTTGTCCGCTCTTTCTCTATTCCTCCCCTCCCTCCACTCCTCCCCCCCACCCTCTTCTCCTCTCCTCCTCTCCCGTCATCTCCTCTCCACTCTTTCTCCTGTCCGTCTGTCCCGTTCCGTCCCATCCAGTCTCCCCACCTTCTTCTCCCCTCCTCCTTCTCCTCAAGTACTGCACTGATAGGATAGGACGGTTCACACCAAGCTATGTATCAACGTTTAAGCTCTTCTTGCAGATTCATTTGCGCTTTTCTTCTCTTCTCACCTCCTCTTTTGGTCTCTTCCCTATTCCCCTCCTCTCTCATAACGTCTTTCCTTCTTCCTCTCTCCCCCTTTCCCCTTCTTCTTGTCTCTCCCTCTCCCCCTCTGCCCCTCTCCCCCTCTCCCCGCATCCCCTCCCCACATCTCCCCCTCACCTCACGCCCCTCCCCAACCTCTTCCACCCTGCAGGTCTGCTCGCTGCTGCACCAACGCTACGCAGACTTCTCCCCAGCGCTCATCCCCACCCTCCTCCGCGTCCTCATGCCCTCCGTGCCTTCCTCCAAACCAACCACCGGCACCAGCAGTGGCAGCAGCACCACCATCACCAGCAGCTTGTTTTTCGACGATGTAGACGGGAGTGCAGTTGGCGTGGGCGGAGCAGGGGGGGGAGTCAGCGGGGCAGGGTTGGCAGGAGCGGGAGCAGCGGGGGGAGGGGGCGCGGTGGCAGGGGCAGGCAGTGCAGGCACAGGGGCGAGCCTGTCTTCCAGAATATCCCGCAAGCGGAGTGTGTTTCGGCTGCTAGTGGAGCTGTTCTTATGCGGAGTGTTCGGCGATGCGAGTATGATTATAGGCGTGGTGAAGGAAATGGCGAGTGCAGATGGGTCCGGGCTTGTAGCAGCAGCCGCAGCAGCAGCGGCTGCTGCGGGTGCAGGAGGGGGCGGGGGAGGAGGAGGAGAGCTGGGTATTGGCGCGGGGAGGAGCGAGCGGGAGAAGGAGAGGCTGGAGAGGGAGAGGGAGGCGGTGACCATGTCTGTGACGCTCATGCTGAGCTTTGTGCGCGTGGGAGGGCCGCTGCTAGGGCTCAAGAGCGACCCAGCAGACGAGGAGGTACGTGTTGGTGTTTTTCTGAGTCGACTCAAAAGTCACCTTTGTGCGGGTGGGAGCGCTGCTAGGGCTCAAGGGCGACCCAGCAGACGAGGAGGTATGTGTTGGTGTTGTTGTTAATGCCCCTCCAGCCCAGCCTCTCACTTTCCTCCCCCTTCCCCTCCCCTCCACACGCCCAGGTTTGCATAGGCCTCCCCCACCCAGTAACCGCTCACCAGCACAAACATCTCAGCTTGTATTGGGCACCACAGAAGAAGCAAATTTTTTGCTTCTTGGCTGCTTAGGAATCAAAACTCCCCGCAACCCCCCTCCCCTCCCCACTCCTCCTTCCCACGCCCAGGTGTACACAGACCTGCCGGTAACCGCCGAGCAGCGCAAGCAGCTGAACAAGCTGGTCTCCTCCTTCTTCGAGGCCCTATGCGCGCTCGTGCAGAGCGAGCAGGGCGTGCTGCGCGGCATGGAGCGCGAGATAGCGCGCATGACAGCGCAGCGAGGGGAGGTGGGCGAGGACGTCACGGGCGCGTATGAGAAGAGCCGCAGGGGACTGGAGCAGCTGCTGCGCAACGCCAACGCGTGAGTGGAGTGGTTGGGCGCCAGTGGAGTGTGCTGTGTTATATGGATGCGATGCGGGTATTGCTGTAGCTGGTGTCTCAGCACCCGCATCCTGCCGCGGGCTGGACCAGCTGCTGCGCAACGCCAACGCGTGAGTGGGGCCGGTTTGGAGATCGTGGGCGTTGCTGCGGGTGTTGCTGCGGGTGTTGCCGCGGGTGTTGCTGCAGGTGTTGCCGCGGGTGTTGCCGCGGGTGTCGCTGCAGGTGTTGCCGCGGGTGTTGCCGCGGGTGTCGCTGCAGGTGTTGCCGCGGGTGTTGCTGTGGGTGTTGGTGCAGGTTTCGAGTTCCTATTCCAGGGTGGTGGGTTCGTTCCAGTCTGCAAGTCAAGTTTGTTTGCCTTGGACCCTTTCCGTCCATTCACATCATCCATCGTACTTTCCTCTGTCTAGCAGCTCTCCCTCTCCACATCCGCATTTCATGAGGTCTCACCACCAGGGGGTTCGACTCGACTGCACCCCATTCCACCTACCACTGGAATCCCGCCTGTCACCAACCACTCACAACCCCCCCATTCCGCCCCCCCCCCTTCACCCACCAACCCACTTCCCACGCGACCGGCGACCCCTTTCCCCCATTTTCCCCCTTTCTCCCCTTTCTCCCCTTTCTCCCCTTTCTCCCCTTTCTCCCCTTTCTCCCCCACCCGTCCTCCTTCTTCGTACCACCGCCCTCCCTTTCTCCGTACGCTACGCTCCCCTTGCCAGCCTGGCAGACGCCCTGGACCGGCCACCTGTTGTGCTGCCAGAGGACGAGCACACCACCCACGTGGCAGGGGGCGCGGACAGCTCAGCAGGGGGCGCGGGAGGGGCGGGGGCGGACGGCGGGAAGAGAGAGCCTGAGCCTCTACCCCTGTGGGACGATGATGAGACGAGGGTGTTCTATGAAGACCTTCCAGACTTGAAGTTGTTCGTGCCTGCTGTGCTGCTGGGTGATGGGGGCGGGAAGGGCGGGAAGGGGGATGGCGAGGAGAAGGAGAGTGAGGAGGGCGAGGGGAAGGAGGAGAAGGAGAAGGGGAAGGAGAAGGGAAAAGAGAAGGACAAGGATGAGAAAGAGAAGGGGAAAGAGAAAGAGAAGGAGAGTGAGAAGGAGAAGGAGAAGGTGAAGGGGGTGGAGGCGGCGAAGCTAGACGACTTGCTGCAGCGCCTGCCGTCTTGTGTCAGCCGAGACCTCATCGACCAACTCGCCGTGAGCCTCTACCCCTTGCTACCAGCCTGGCCCGCTCCCCACCTCACCTCCTACCCGCTTTCCCTCCCTCCCTCCCTCCCTCCCTGCCTGCCTGCCTGGCCAGCTGGTGCGCAGGCTGCTGTGGGCCTTGAGGCACGTCTTAGAAGCATTTATTTGAGCTTCTTTTCCTGCTACCTCCTCTCTTACCACCCTTTCCGCCTCCTCTTCCCACACTCTCTCCACACTCCCCCCCTCCTCTTCCCACACGCTCCCCACACTCTCCCCCTCCTCTTCCCACACTCTCCCCACACTCTCCCCACACTCTCCCCCTCCTCTTCCCACACTCTCCCCACACTCCCCCTCCTCTTCCCTCACTCTCCCACTTTCCCCCCGCACTCTTCCCGTTCCTCTTCCCCAACCCCTCTCTCCTTCTTCCCCCTGTCAGGTGGACTTTTTCTGTGTGAACAGCAAGACCAGTCCCAGCAGGCTCATGTGCTCCTTCACGTACCCCTTAAAACACTTCCTTTGGTGCCACTTTATCTGCTGCCTCCCTCCCACTCCCCTTCCCTTAAACTTGAAACCCCAAACCCAGGTGGACCTCTGCTATGTGACCACCAAGGCGAGCAGGCGCAGGCTGGTGCGCTCCTTGAGGCATCTCATAAACGCACCCATCTGCACCTCTTCTCCTTCCCCTCCTCCAATCCCCGCGGCTTCCCTCCCGTCCCCCTCCCTCAGGTGGACTTCTGCTAATGTGAACAGCAAGGCGAGCAGGCACAGGCTGGTGCGCTCCTTGAAACACGTCTATCAAGCATCCATGCGTACCGCTTTCTTTCCTCCCCCGCCCCCCCCTCTCCTCTCTCCCTCCCTCAGGTGGACTTCTGCTACGTGAACAGCAAGGCGAGCAGGCGCAGGCTGGTGCGGGCACTCTTTGCAGTGCCGCGCACGGCGCTGCAGCTGCTGCCGTACCACGCGCGCCTCACCGCCACGCTGGGGCAGTACATGCGGGATGTGGGGCCCGCACTGGTGCACCTGCTGGAAGAGGAGTTTGCAGCTCTCAAGAGCAAGAAGGTGGGCAGGGCTGGCTCTCGTGTTGACTTGGTGTTGGGCTGAGCGAGCTCGGGCAGTATATGTGGGAATAGGGGGCATGGGGAGCACGCTGGGGCAGTACATGCGGGATGTGGGGCCGGCACTGGTGCACCTGCTGGAAGAGGAGTTTGCAGCGCTCAAGAGCAAGAAGGTGGGGTGGGCTGGCTGGCTCTCATGTTGGTGTTGAAGGGATGGGTTGAGCTCTGGAATGGGGAATGAGGAGCACGCTGGGGCGGTGCATGCGGGATGTGGGGCTTGCACTGGTGCACCTGCTGGAGGAGTTCGTTGCACTCAAGAGCAAGAAGGTGGGGTGGCTGGCTCTGGTGTTTGTACCAAGGGGGTGGGCTGGGTGGATGGAACATGGGGCTAAAGGAAGGAACGCTCTTGTTGTGTGCCCAGTACATTGGGGGCAGGGCCTGCGCATGCATTCGCCTGGCCCAACCATTTGACGAGTCACGCCAATGAGCCAAGGTGCAGGCTTGGGCTAGTGCTTTTGTGTGGGGGACAGTGACCGCTGACCGCCTTTCAACCTCCTCTACAGTGTCTTCAATTCTTCCGTTAAAAACCCGTCCCACCCTTTTTTCTCTCGCCTTCCGCTTCTCTTTCTCGACATCCACCAGAATCCAATCAACATAGATTCCAAGATGCGTAGCATCCAAAATTCTCTCTTCTCCCTCCTCCTCTCCCCCCTTCCCACCCGCTCTCTCCTCTCCCCCCCTCCCTTCCTCCCGCCCCCCACATATGCGCCCACCAGGATCAAATCAACATTTTGTCTAAGATGTGCAACATTCAAATCCCCCCCCTCTCCCTTTCTTTCCCCTCTCTCCGCCCGTCTCTTCTCACCTCGCTCCATCACACCGTGCGGGCACTAGGATCAAATCAACATAGAGTCCAAGATGCGCAACATCCGCTTCCTGGGCGAGCTCGCCAAGTTCAAGGTGGCGCCGCCAAGCCTCATCTTCAGCTGCCTCAAGGTCAGCTTCCCACCCACATTCCCACACCACACGCCTCTCTCACCATGCCATTCCACTCTGCTTCAAAGTGAGCTGCTGACCCCTCTCAGTGCTGACGCCTCTCAGTGCTGCCCGTGCCAACATAGAGTCCAAGATGCGAAGCTTGGCCCTCCTCGTGTGCCAAGCTGATATGATCCTACACGCCTGCTTTCTGCAAGTTGAAAATCGCGCCAGCAAGTGTCGTTGCGCGCTCTCACTATCCCTTAATTCAACCACCTCCCAACCTTTCCTCCCCTCCGTGCCCTTCCCTTTAATCCCAACCATGTAGTCATGCCTATGAGGATTTCTTTCTCCCACCACAGCATATCGACGTGGCTCCCCGGCATGTGTCTCTGAAGCGTACCTGCGTCGTCCCTTCCGCCCCACCCTTAATTGCATGCGTGCAGTCGTGCCTAGAGGATTTCTCCCACCACAGCATTGACGTGGCGTGTGCGCTGCTCGAGACTTGCGGGGCCTTCCTCTCCCGCCACCCCGACACCAAGGTGTGTGCACTCATGGGCTCAGTCACTCGCTCACTCACGGGCTTATGGGGTGCTGCGGTGCTGGGGTGATGGGGTGATGGGATGATGGGATTATGCAATGCTGCAGTGCTGGGGTGCTGGGGTTCTGGGGTGATAGAGTGCTGCTGGGGTTTCGGGGTGATGGGGTGCTGGGCTCATAATCTGTGCACTGCGACCAAGAAGGCGTGAAGCTGAAGCCCATGAGCTCGTAGATAAGAGCCAAAGCTTGATCCAGTAATACAAACATGCAAGAAAGGAAGAGTGGAAGGGGAGCTAATCCTATTGACCACGAAGTTGGCCAATGGGTGAGGTGTCTTGCAAGATGGTAAAAAAAAAATCACGAAGATTCTAGTAAGGATTCGAGTGGTCTTCGAAGCGGTTAGTGCAAGTGGATCTGCGTCAAAATACTTGCTAAGGAGTCTCCGACAAGTAGTTAGAAAGCTGGTGTGCTCCGCTACTTTGGCGTGGCACGCTACCATCACAGCACAAGTGTCGATTGATTGCCAATATCGATCTACCACCGCACTGTAATCGCGCTTAACACATAGAGAGAATCTGTTGGGCATTGTTGTTGGTGTCAATCGAACCGAATCGCATACTAACTTCAAGGCAGGACGACATTGCGAATTAAAGAGAATCCAGAGAAAGCTGATTCAGAGTGCGAAGCGCGGGTTGAGCTGACTGTGAGAGTACGACGGCTTATGCTGGCTTTGCTAGCTTGCCTTTACTTTATTATGCATTATCTAGCTTAGCTTTGCTTGATTTTGCTTGCTTTTGCTAGATTTCCTAGGTTCGTTGCTTTTACTATAGTTATTATAGTTATAGGCACCGAACTAGGTTGAGTGCACCGAATTCTAGGCTTTTTGGTTGCCACCGAATTGCCTTCTACCGAATTCGGGAAGGCTCTGTTCGGGACGCTTCGCGACCCTCGGAACCTTCGCGTAACACCTGGTTACTAGGCCTTGTGTCGAGCCTATATATAGCCTCGCGTTGTACCCAGGTGAAACATTCAATTCACATTCTCTTTTCTGAGCTCGATCCTAAGATCCTCACACTGACGTACTTCGATCTTTGAATTAGCTTTCTCTGGATTTGTCTTGATTCGCGATGTCGTCCTGCCTTGGAGTTAGTATGCGACTTGACATGATTGACACCAACACCGATGCCCAACAGGTTTTCTCTCGCAGTGTCTTAAAACCCAGATTGTCCTGGGTTGAAAACGGCTCGTTTGGGCGCATATGTGTTAAACATGATTATAGCGCGGTGGTAGATCGATATTGACCATTAATCGACACTTGTGTTGTGGTAGTAACATGCCACGCCAGAGCTGGAGAGCACACCAGTTTTTCAACTACTTGTTTTAAACCCCTTAAAGCGGCGGTATACATACTTCACGGTATTTTTTGGGGTTATTTAGGATGCACACCCAACGACGCACACTGATTTGCTTACGAAAAATCCCTCTTCTAGAATCAGTAGGTGCGAGCTGGTCAAACGGAACTGGCGAAATCCGCCAGTTTCGTGAAGATTTTCGGTTGAGAAACAACCCTCGGCGACTCCGCGATAATTTCGTGAGGTTGGGTTGGGGAGGGGATTGGCGAATTTGTATAGCCAATCAAGAGCAGGAAAATTTCAGGCGGGGGTTGTGTTTTCAAAAACTGTGAAACACACCTCGCCATCGAAGCGGAGGGCTACCTGGTTCTCAAGTGATAAACCAAAGGCCCTCCCGCAAGGTATGTAGACGACAGCTTTAACAAGCATTCTGGCGCAGATCTACTTTAACTACGTCGTTCGAAGATTACTCGGATCCTCACCCGGATTTACATTATTTTTGCCTTAGGAGACCACCTTGCAGCAAGTAACCTCACAATGTAGATTGGTTGGGATTGGTTGGGCCAAGGTCCAAAGATTGGCAAGTGCCAACCAAGGACCATGGCCAAATGTAATCTTGACCAACCACAAAATGTGGTTGGAGTATACATCCAACCCCTCAATGGATGTCGTAGAAAGTATAAAAATACAACACGTCATGAGTTTTGCCTACTCGGCATGGCGAGCGAGTGTGTGACTCAAGCCACACGCGCCTTGTCCTACAACCGCAGGCCCTAAGTTGCAAAATACGCTTATAGCGTATATACGCTTATCGTATATACGCTAGCGTATATACGCTATCCGCTTAGGGGGCAATTTGAACATACGCTTTTTCGGGCAGGGAAAAAACTTCCCCGGGCAGGGCAAAAAGAACCGCCAGGGCTATTACAGGGGGGAATCTAGGGTGTTATGTTTCAGAGGTAATATTTTTTCCCCATAAAAAGATTGCAACTCCTACACACATTACTATATAATACTCTCCTACCGCCAGGGCTATTATAGGGGGGGAATCTAGGGTGTTAGTCCACAATTTTTTAAGGTCGGGCTGCCCCAAAAAAATATTTGCCAGCGTTTAGCGTATTTGCTGGTGTTTAGCGTTTAGTGTGTAAACGCCAGCGTATATCCGCTAAACGCAAAGGGTCTCTAGCGTTTTTTGCAACTTAGCGCAGGCCGAGCTTGTTACGAGCTTTCTTGACTTCACTTGCAACTCGGTTTGACGAACATGTTCAAATTCAGCATGTTGGGCATCCACGAAATCACCACCCTCGCTGTTATCTCCCTCCCTTTCTTCCCCATCATCCCCTCACTGTTCCTCCCCTGATTTCCTCTGGTTCCCCTTTCCCCCGCTTCTTCCCTCTTCCTCCCTCCCCCTACCAGGTGCGCATGGGCAAGATGCGGGACATTATCCATCGCCTTGCTGTTCCCCTGCGTTGGCCCCATCTCTCCCATCTCAGGCATGCAGTTCCCCGCCTCCCCCTCGTCCCAACCCTGCCTCCTTCCTCCCTTCACTCCTCGCTCCCCCCACCAGGTGCGCATGGACATCATCCAGCGCCTCAAGAACGCGCGCAGCTTCGACTTCCAGATTTGAGCCATTCCCTCCCTCTTCCCTCCTATCCCCCGTCCCCCCCCCTCCTCCCCCCCCCCCCCGCACCCTTCCCCCCCCCCCGCACCCTTCCCCCACCTCCCCCACCAGGTGCGCATGGGCAACATGCTGGACATCATTCAGCGGCTCAAGAACGCGCGCAGCTTTGACGCGCACCACTCCACACTCATTGACAACGCCTACTTCCTCTGCCGCCCTCCTGACCGCGTCGCCAAGGTCATCAAGACACGCCCTCCGCTGCACCAGGTGGGGGGAAGGAGGGGGGGAAGAGGGTGGCTGTGTGTGTGGTGGGGATGGTGGGGGGGATGGTGTGTTTGCCCATGGGGTGGGGATGGTTTGGTTTGGTGTGTGGTGTGTTATGTGTTCCGTTCGGTGGTGGCGTGGGGGGCGAGAGGGATGTGGGTGTTGCTGTGCCAGAGGGGAGGGCGTTGCTGCATGAGGGGGGTTCGTTGTGTTGTGTGCCTGCTCTGCCTCTCTTGTACGTTCAAGTCAAAGGGTTGTTGCTTACGCACACGTTTTTTGAGAATCCTCTTTCCTCTGAGCATCTAATGCTGCTTCAAGTTAGTCCATGTGCAAGCTCCTGTACCCCGCACTCTTTCCTCCCCCTCTCCCCTCCCCCTCTCCCCTCCCCCTCCGTCCCCATCTCGCCGCCTAACCCATCCCAACCCAACCCAATCCCCCAACCCATCCCATCCAGTCACCCCTCCCCTTATACCCTCCCCTTCTTTATTCAGTCCATTTTCCGCAAGCTGCTCTTCCCCTTCTCCCTCTCCCTCTTTCCCCCTCTTCCCTTTCCCCTCTCCTCCTCTCCCCTCTCCCTTTCTCCCCCGCACTCCCTCCTCGCCCCTGCGCCCCTCTCTCCCCATTCTGTTTACATACATCCGCAAGCTGCTCTATGCTGACCTCAGCAAGAGCACCCAAGGCATTGGCTTTCCTCTCACCATCCCATTCCCTCCCCCCTCTCCTCCTCACCTCCTTTCCTCCTTCCCTCCTTCCCGCCTTCCCTCCTTCCCACCCTCCCTTCCCTCTCTTCCCCCCTCTCTTTCTCCGCCCCTCCCTCTCCACCGCCCCCGGTCCTCCCCCCGGTCCTCCCCCTGTCCTCCCCCGTCCTCCCCCCGTCCTCCCCCCATCCCCCCCCCCAGTACATCCGCAAGCTGCTCTACGCTGACCTCAGCAAGTCCACGGTCGAGAAGGTTCTGCGGCAGCTGAGGAAGCTTCCGTGGAGCGAGTGCGAGGGGTACGTGGTGCGGTGTCTGGTGAAGGCCCACCGCGCGCGCTTCAACCAGATCCACCTCCTCGCCTCGCTCGTTGCTGCTCTCTCCAGATTCAGAGAATCCGTTGGGGTGGCCGTGGTTGATCAGGTGAGCAAGGGCGGGGGGGAGTGGTGGGGGAGGTGGGGAGGAGAGAAAGATGGAGCGAGGGAGAGAAAGGGAGGAGGGAAAGGGTTGAGGGGATGAGAAAGGGGAAACGGGGGGCGGATGGATGGGGGGAAGGAGGGAGGGAGGGTGCAAGGAGATGGGTGGGAAAGGAGCGGCGGGGGAAGAGGGGCTGTACTCGTGTCTTGGATGCCCCTGGCAGCAGTGCACCTGACCCGTCTCGTATCCCCCCCTATCCCCCTTCCCACTTCCGCTCCCTCCCACTTCCTTCCATTCTCCTTTTCCCTGCTCCCTTACTTCCCCCCTCTGCTCCCCCTTCCCCCACCAGCTAATGGAGGGCATCAGGTTGGGGCTAGAGGCATCGGCCAGCACGCACCAGCAGCTCCGAAACTCCTCTCTTTCCCCTCCACCATCTCCCCTCCTCTCCCACACCCCCTCCCCCGCGTCTCCCCTCTGCTCCCCCTTCCCCTCCCAGCTGATGGGGGATATCAGGTTGGGGCTGGAGGCACCGGACAGCACGCACGAGCAGCGCCACTTCACCTCTCTTTCCCCCTGCCATCGCCCCCCTCTCCCAACCCCCTCATCCCTCCTCCGCTCCCTCTCCCCACCAGCTTATGGAGGACATTCGGTTGGGCCTAGAGGCACCGGACAGCACGCACCAGCAACCTTTCCTCCCTCTCTCCCTTCCCTTCATCCACCCTCTCCCCTTCTCTTCCCCTTCCCGTCTCCCTCCCAGCTAATGGAGGACATTCGGTTGGGGCTGGAGGCCCCGGACAGCACGCATCAGCAGCGGCAGTTCTCCTCCTTCCCATACCATCGTCTCCCCTCTCCCAACCTCTGCTCCCTCTCCCCACCCACCAGCTGATGGAGGACATTCGGTTGGGGCTAGAGGCCCCCGACAGCATGTACCAGCAACTCCAAAACTCTCTCTCCTCGTACCATCTTCCCTCAACTGCCACACCCCCTTCCCCACTTCCCCTCTCCACTCCCTCTCCCCACCCACCAGCTGATGGAGGACATTCGGTTGGGGCTGGAGGCCCCGGACGGCACGCACCAGCAGCGGCGCATCACAGCGCTGCGCTTCCTGGGCGAGCTCTACAGCTACCGCGTCGTGGACTCGCACCTCGTCTTCGACACACTGCACCTGCTGCTCTTCTTCGGCTGCGACACGCCTGAGGTGGGGTGGTAAGGGGTGTAGCGTGGTGTGTGGTGTATTGCGGTGTAGCGCGGTGCAGTGCGGGTGCATTGCATTGTTCTTTGACTGGGCGAGCTCTACAGCTACCGCGTCGTGGACTCGCACCTCGTCTTCGACACGCTGCACCTGCTGCTCTTCTTCGGCGCTGATACCCCCGAGGTGCGTGTGTTGGGTGGTGTGTTATGGGGTGTAGAGTGGTGCAGTGCGGTGCGCCGCTGCTTTGACTGGGCGAGCTGTACAGCTACCGCGTGGTGGACTCGCATCGGATCTTCGACACGCTGCACCTGCTGCTCTTCTTCGCTTGTGACACGCCTGAGGTACGGCAGGGACCAGTCAGGTCAGGGGTTCTACGTGTGGGGTGGTGTGTGATATGGGGTGTAGTGCGGTGCGGTGCGGTGCGCCGCTGCTTTGACTGGGCGAGCGGTACAGGTACCGCGTGGTGGGCACGCACCTTGTCTGTGTCACACCTGAGGTAAGTCTTTGTGCTGCCAGTGCGGTGCAGTGCGGTACTACGTGGTTCATCCAAGGCATGCTATGCACTGGCTGTGTAGTACGAGGTATTCCCTGAACCAGCAGGCACTTTCCCCCTTGTACCTCCTCCTCATCACATTGTCCCTCCATCTCCGCACCATTCATGTCATACCCCCCTCTCCCCCCTTCCCTTTCCTCTCCTCCCCTTCCATTCCCAATCCCTCCACCCCCTCCCCCCTCCCCCTCCCCCCTCCCCTTCCCCTACCCCTCCCAGCACCTAACGCTAGACCCACCGGACGATTCGTTCCGCATCCGCATGGCAGCAACGCTGCTCGCCACGTGCGGCCACTTCTTTGACCGCGGCTCCTCGCGTCGCCGCCTTGACCGCTTCCTGCTGCTCTTCCAGGCCTACGTGCTCGCCAAGCCCTCCGTGCCGCTCGACGTCGAGTTTGACCTGCAGGTGGGTGGGGTGGGGAGGGGTGGGGTGGGGTGGGGTGGGGTGTGTTGTTGCATACAAGCAAGGCTGTGACGGAATGGTCTCTTCCAGGCCTACGTGCTCGCCAAGCCTCCCTACGTGCCGCTCGACGTGTAGTTTGACCTCCAGGTAGGGAGCAGGAGAGCGGGGAAGGAAGGGGCGAGTGGGGGGGGAGGGGGAGGGGAGAGGGGGGGAGGTTTCGCAGAGATGCAAGTGGTGGTTAGGACAGGGTGAGTGAGGATTGGGGCTTGCAGACGTGGCACTTGCGGGCCTATGTGCTCCTCCTTACCAAAGCCTCCGTGCCACTCGACGTGGAGTGGAGTTTGACCAGCTGATGATAACACGCTGCAGCTGGTCGCCGGGGAGGAGTTTGCACACTTCCTTCCTTCCGGGCGACCAGCTGCAATGCAATGCACGAGCGTGTTGTCGCCAAGACACTGTTCTGTTCTCACACCTGGATGGATGTGTGCAAGAGACTGAAGCTCACAGAGAGCGTGGGTTCCTGTTAGGGGACTGCTGTTAGAGACGCCTTGCGTGTGGCCGAATGTGAAATTCAAGCTGGGCAGGGCAGGTGGGTGGTTGTTTTTTAGCGCGATCTTCTTTTCTTTTGGCTCGGTTCGTTTCCTCTTCTTCTCCTTTCAGACCGTTGGTGGAGTGATCACTCATCTTCCAATCGTTGGATGTGTAGGTCTTGATGAGAATGATAGCCATTTCTCAGGATGAATTCAGGATGAGTTCAGGATGAATCTCCAAGAGTCTTGTCCATTCTCTGCTTCTCTCTGCCGCCACCCATTGTTCAGGATCTATTCGCCAAGCTGCGGCCGCGCATGAAGCGATTCGCCACGCTGGAAGAGGCGCAGGCGCAGCTGCTGCAGGACGCTGAGCGGGCTGCCGGCAAGGGCGGGGCAGGGGGAGGCGGGAGAGGAGGGGAGGGCGCTGGCGCCGGTGCTGCTGCTGGGGCTGCAGCGGGGATGGGAGGCGCGGCGGGAGGAGGGGGGGGAGGAGGGGGAGGGCTTGGGGTTATCCCTGAGAATGTTGAAGTGCAGATGGAGCAGGGGGGGAAGGTGGGGGAGGGAGGGGAGGATGAGAGGAGTGATAGCGAGGAGGAGACAGTGGGAGGGGAGGAGGAGGAGGGGGGAGAGGAGGACGACGGGGATGAGACGGGGGATGGGGAGGACGGGGGAGGGGAGGACGACGACGACGAGGGGGAAACAGAGGGGGAAGGGGGCGCAGGGGGAGAAGCCAGCGAGGCGGAGGAGGGGGAGGGGGACGACGATAAAGTGAAGCTGGTCGGGGGGAGGAAAGAAGCCGAGGTGGATCCGGAGGAGTTGGAAGACTTTGACAAGGAGTTCCGAGCGCTCATGCAGGAGAGCCTTGCAGAGAGAAAGCTGGAGAAGCGCGGGGCTGGCGTGCTGAATATATCGATCCCCATGGGGCTGCTTGATGGGACTGGGGGGACAGGGGGTGGTGTTGGTGGTGCAGGGGGTGTGGGGAGGAGAGGGGGTGCTGGAGCAGGGAAGGTGGATGATGGGGATGATGCTGATGATGAAGGGGGAGGAGGGGGGGGAAGAGTGGGGAGAGGGAGAGGAGGGGAGGAGAAGGGGGTGGAGATGACGATGTTTCGGGTGCTGGTGAAGAGAGGGAACAAGCAGCAGGCGCGGGAGTTGATGGTTCCGAGTGACAGTGCTATTGCCGTGGCGACGCGGCGCAAGGAGGAGGAGGAGGAGAGGGAGCGGCAGGATATCAAGCGACGAGTGCTGGAGTATAATGAGCGGGCGGAAGAGGAGAGGCCGTTTGCACCTGCTGCTGGGGGGTTTGCAGGGGGAGGTGCGGGGGTGGGAGGCGGGTGGGGAGGAGGAGTGGGGGGAGGGGGAGGGGGAGGGGGAGGAGGAACTGGTGGGTACGCGCAGTGGCAGCAGGGGCACGGTGGGGGGAGAGGAGCAGGAGGAGCGGGGATTCTGGGAGGGGGAGGAGGGGCAGCAGCAGGCGGAGGGGGAACGGGAGGGCAGGGCAGGGGGGCACAGCCTGTACTGCTCGTGAGAGCACGGGATCAGCAGGGGGGACACGGAGGGGCGGAGCGAGAAAGAGAGCGCGAGCGGCCTGGGAGGAACAACCTGGGGGTGGTGGATGGGTCACTGTCGGACTTTTCTAGCAATAGCCAGGCTAGGTTGAACCGCAGGAGGTGACGTGCAGTGCGGTGCGGTGCGGTGGCAGGCCAGGAGTGTTTGCACTCACCAGGGATGGCAGAGCGGCCAGGACTTAGAGGGAGGAGTGTGCGCAATGCCAGATTTCCTCCTCTTTTTTTCTACCTTTTCCATTCTCTTTCCGGTTCCCCCTTTTTTTTTATGGTTTTCCTTCGGGGTTTCGTTCACGTGCACTGCGAGGGGCCTAGCTGTGTGGTATCAGCACAAGCAGCGAGCAAAGCCCATGAGTCCATCATAGCATATCATCTCAGCTCACATCACACTGGCGCCCTCCATGCCGATCCCAACTTCTCCACTTTGTCTGGCCGTGCTTGCTCCACCTAGCTAAAGCCTCCTTTTGGAATATCAGAATGTGCAAGTGCAGCAGCTGTAAGAGCAGTATGAGAGCAGTGGAGCAGGGCGAGGCAAGCAGACACCGTTCAACTCAACCCCCTCGTTTGGGTTTGGCTCTGCAGCCCTCCCTAGCAGTGGCAGGCATGGCTCAAGCACGGGTTGGACTCGCGAGTCCGTTTTAAGGGCGTGATGTCGAAGCCCAGTACTTTCTGTGCGTTTCTGTGCCTCTGCCTCTGCCTTGCACTCGCCACCTGCTGGTAGTGCGCTCGTTCGCTGGTTTGCATTGCGGTTGATAGGCTAGAAGGGGTAAGTGCACAGGTGAGTGATGTTGATGGGGTTGTGGGGGAGAGGAGCAGCACCAGGGGAAGCAGGTGGGGTTTCTGCAGGAGAGCAGGAACAGTAGCAGTGACAGCAGCAGCAGCAGCAGCAGCAGCAGCAGCATTGGTGGCAGCAGCGGTGGCAGCAGCAGCAGCAGCAGCAGCAGCAGCAGGAGGCAGGCAGGCAGGGGGGGAGGTTTTGTAGGAGCAAGGAGAAGCAGTGGAGTGTGGGCGGGCTCGTTTGTGTGTTGGAGGAAGCAAAAGTTTGGAGCCCTGGCAGCAGTGGTTCGTCCCAAGCATGCCATACCACTGCACAAGGAGACTCCTGATTCGATGCACAATTCACCTCGTGGCAGCGCAATGCGTCTCTTCCGACGCATACTACATGTTATGACCGCAGCACGAAGCAGCATCTTGGCTGACCGGCATCGCTGTGAGTGAGCAGCTGCGCGCGCATGTGACCCCTGGCCTGAACCTGAGTGTGAACCTGAACCACGCACCACCGCCCACCACGGCCAAGGTGGCAGAGCTCGAGTCGAATCCATAGCCTTCCCATGGCTGGCCTCTGCAGTGGGGAAGGCAGCTGCATGGAGCTCTGCTCATCCTCGAACCAGACTCCTGATGCCTGCGCTGCCGCCGACTGATCTCTTCCGGTTTATTTCTGAGTTACGGCTCCAGTTTTTTCCCCTGGCTGCCTCCTGTACTTTGAGGCACCTCGGGACGTGCTCGGCTTCCTGCCTGGCTCTCTGAAGATCCTCCACTGGGCGTTGTGGGGTGCTGGTGCCAGGGCTGTTGTGTCTCGTACCACCTGCTGCTCCACCTGCTGCGTTGCTGTTGTGCTGCTGTTGTTTTTTCCGCTACTGCTGCTGATGTGATGGTTGCTCCTGCTGCTGCGGTGGCTGCACGTGCAGTGCTTGTTCTCAAGCACGGCCCACCTGCCCCTCTGATCCTGCCTCCACTGCTCCCTCAGTGTTGGCAACCCCGCACCTACATCTGCTTGCATGTGTGCTTCCCGTAGCATTGGCAGACACAGGGCAGGAATGAATGGTGAAGGGCCCAGGGCAGCTGCGAACAGCGGGAAGAGCAGTGGGACAGAGCAGTGTGTGTTAAGCAGTGATAATTAGTGAGCAGTGGGCAGCGGGTTGTGTGCAGAGAGCAGTAAGTGGCACAGGGGGCTGGGTGGTAATGATTGGTGAGGTTATGATTGGTGTTGCAGTAACTGGATGTCACACCAATGTCAAACTGGGGTAGAGTGGAGTGGCTTGGAGCGGCGAGGTGGGGAGTGGTGGTGGTGAGCAACATGGAATGGTGAAGAGGATTAGATAGATGGATGGATGTTTGTGCTTGGTGGTTGCTGCTAAGTGTACTCTTGTGCGCCTTTGGCCACAAAGCAGCAAAAAGCGCCTCCTTGCTATTTGCTGGTTTGTGCTTAGCAGCGAGCAGTTCCGGGTAGTGAATTGTCGTAGGATACCCGTAAGCCAAGGCATGCACGGTCGTGGTGCGATCAGCTTCTATAGCATTGAGGCAATTCCAGAATCATGTGCAACTGACATACTAGCATAAAACAGGGTGCTATTAAGGGCGTGTAAAATCGGGGAGCATTTTGAAAAATGAGGTTTGGCCGGGATTTTGTCGACCAAATGGTTGACACTTCTTTCGCACATGTCGACCACATGGCCGACTCAGTGTCGGCCAATAACCGGCCATTTTTTGCAGGCCTGCAAATTTTACAACTTCCAGGGGCGAATTGCTGGCCGACTCCAGAAAGTTGTAAACTTTCAAATGGCTGAATTGTGCGACGGAGTCGCACATGTGCACCCGATATTGGAACGCCCTTGCACCCCAATCTCAACCACAGCCTGAACTTTGCTACCGCGGCTCCGTTCACATACGGTTCGGCATAGCACAATTAGCCAAAAGCGGTTTAGGGTTTCTGATTGGCGTCGCATGCGGAAACGTGCGACACCTGATGCCAATGTCGCAACGACGGGGCGGTAACGTGGCTGGTTTCGAGTCGACTCGACGTTGGAAGGCGAGTCGACCAATTAGACGGCCATCAAATTCGCTGAATCTGGGCGAAATTTGCGACTGTCGCAAGGGTTGTCGTGAATTTCGTAACAGTGTTACTTTCGCCAATTCGGCCATTCGGCTTGTGGCCGAATATTTGTGTCTCCCGATTTTACACGCCCTAAACAACATGTATTGCCAACCATAGCGAGTCAGTTGCTCCTATAGCGAGGTCACTGAACCTCACTGACTGTACACTACAGTTTGCTTGTATGACACTTGCATGACTGGGGTGGGATGACATCCAGGGCAGGCGTTCGAACAAGCCGAGCACCAGCGTACATTTTCGCTGGTAAGTTCTGTGGCATTGTTACGGGTGCAATGGATCGAGGTAGCGAGGATTGCACTAGAGTGTCAAACGAGTACAAAGATGTGAGCGAAGGCATGAGCGAACATTTGTATGCGAACATGCAAACGGTAACGCGGTGCGTGCGAGCTAGCTAGTGCTACGCTGGCAGCGAGGCTCGGGCTAGTCCCGAAGCGTAGGCCGACACGGCCGGGCCAGCAGTGCGAGGTTTGGCAAAACAGTGCGCGCGAAGTGGCGAAGTCCCGTTAGCAGTAACGGGCGAACAAACGGCAGTGTTGTACGCGATGTAGCCGGACTCCGTAAGGAATGCCGAGAAAATTCCTTACACTACCCCCCCCCCCCCCTCAAGAAGCCCCTTCCGCTACGCAAGTGCGTGTATATCGCGGAATCCCCGGCTCCTCAGGTACACTTGCAGGGCAGGGTGGTTTTCGATGTTGGCCAGGGGCACCCAGCTATCCTCAGTTGGCGTGCGGTCCTTCCAGCGAACGAGGAATTCAATCCTCTTGATTCCCGTGGGGTGGCGAATCCGATGGCTCAGGATTTTTTCGGGCTCGATGATCGGCTCCGATGCAGGGCGAGTCATTGAATGCGGGCGGTGACGCGGCATTTGGCTTGTGGTCGGTATGTACGGGCGAAGCAGGCTTACGTGGAATGAAGGGCTGATGTACCAGTCGGTCGGTAACAGTAGATGCGCGGTTACTGGCGTGATCATGTGGCTGATTTGGAACGGTCCACAGTAGCGCGGTCGTAATTTCGGTACGTCGGGCAGTCGCAGGTTCTGCGTGTCGAGCAGTACATAATCTCCAGACTGATATGTGACGGGGCGGCGGTGGCGGTCAGCGTTGCGCTTAGCGATGACGTTGGCTTTTTTAATTGCTTCTGCGGCTCTGGTGCGGGCAGCTTGCAGTATTTCGTGTCAGAGGTCCACTGATGATCCCCGTTGATCCTAGGGAAGGGTTACAGGCACGTTGGCCTGGGGGGTTATGGGCGCACTCACCCGCCACACAAACAAGCCCTTTTATCCCAGTGGTTAGTGGCTAGGATTCTGACATTTCGGCGAATTGCTGTGCATGTGGCGTGGGGTTGTCCGGACTCGGCGTCATGGGCACTGTTGGATTTTGCCCGTAGTTCAGGTAGAACGGGGACTGCTGCGTCGTCGCTGACGTGGCGTTGTTGTACGCGAACTCG